TACAGATAATACCAAGAACTAAATACAAAGGCAAACACGTACACACGAACGCACAAGTATACATGTGTATATATGTATACATTTTTAGATGTACGAGTGGATACAGACATACATAGATATTGTCACACATAGATTTTGACATGATTTCCGTTCTCACGTCTAACGACACCGCAATGTCCTGAAATGTATCTATCGCCAACTTCTGATGGCAAAAACTACGGCTACTGCCACTTGTTCTACCAGATCTTACTGTCCTCAAAATGTTCCAGTTTATACTCGGACTCTTACCCAGATTCGCTTTTGATTTCCAGACCAAGTCCGCTACCTGCGCTTCTGCACTCTAAAAGAAGAAACATTTTTGTACCAGCGTTTCTTAAATGAACCCTCAGAGCAGGGTTATTGGGGAACGGAAATCATGTTCAAATATAGAGACGTGGACAAGAATGTTTTCGGCCTGTATGACACAGGATGATGACAAATATAGTATAATATATATATATATATATATATATATATATATATAGATAGATAGATAGATAGATAGATAGATAGATAGATAGATAGATGAGAACAAACTGGCATGGATATATAGAGACAGAGATAGAGAGAGAGAGAGAGAAGATAATGAACAAGTAAACACACACACACGCACACACGCACACATATATATATATATATATATATATATATATATATATATATATATATATCACTATATATATATGTGTGTGTGTGTGAGTGTGTAGGTTTGATATACAGAGCGGGTGTGAACAAACAGGGAGATATATAAATATATATATATATATATATATATATAGGTAGATATATATATATAGATAAAGACGATGTGAACAAAGTGGGATAGATAGAAACAGAGAGGGAGAAAGAGGGAGAGAGAGAGAGGAAGAGTAGGGAATTATATATCTGTTCATATATTGCATTATCCTCTAATCGATTAGATTAAATTTGATCATAATACTTTCAGATTGTCGATATACTTGAGAAAAGTGATTAATAAAGCGTAATTTTTTTCAAACAATCGAATATCAATAATACTGAGAAGATATTCGATTGTCTAAAAATACGGTGTCATTTATTTTTTGCATGCGTGTTAGCATGCATTGAATTTTCGTTCAAATAGTACTTATTCGAAAATATACATTAACATGCCAAAAGTCATGAGATATAAAGATAATGGTAGGTGGCGACAACGAAGTTTGCCGTCATGGGACTGCTTCGATCTATAACATTTGTGCTCTGCTATTTAGCTAGTTTGTCAATAAGGCGATCAACACGTCAGAAAAACAACACTTGGTTAAGAAATGTTTGTATACAACATTTTAAACTGTAAGTAATATTTGTTTCAAATCAGATTAATTTAATCTTAAATTTGCTAATTTTTCTCAGATAAAGTTTCATAAATATATATATATATATATTTAAAGATTTTTAAAACCGAGAATTAACTTTTGTTTAAAAAATTTGTCAAAATAGACGATTTTTATCGATTTTACTGAAAAAATCGATTTCAATCAATATAATTTCTGTTTGAAATATACCAGTGTATTTTGCTTACTGAAAATAGTAAATCTAATCCTTTAGCATTCAATTAAAGCTAAAATGCAGGCTTCAAGAAAGCTTTTTCATTTTTAAAAATTTATTTTAAATATGTTTCGCCGAAAAAAGAATCCGACAAATAATTTTATATTCCAAGAAGAAAATGGAGATTTCCATGAAGAAAAGTTTTTCAAGTTAGATTTCTGAAAATTTGCATTTTAATTTTAGTGACTCATTCTAGAAATTAGATTTAACTAATTGCAAATAAGTTTTATTTTTACTTATCTTTTATTTTCCTTTTTTATGGTATACACATAAAAGTTTGTTTCAATCGTAATTTTCTAAAAATAAGGGACACAGATGAAATTGACTTGGCGTATATTATTCGTGTCGACTTTTTATTAAAATGGCATTTTCCAAATCAAAATGGTGACCATCATTTTGTATATAGTGATGTTACCATTGTATACCTTACTAGCAGCATGGCCCGGCGTTGCTCGTGCTTGATTCAAAAATCGTACGACTCATACAGTAATAGCTATCACTTGACTTAAAATGAGTGCCCTTTGCCGCGCTGATGTTGCTACATGCTTTACTTCTTGCCTATCTCACATTGCGAATGTTTTCTAAGCTCTATACTAAACATTAAATCTGTTACGAAAAAAGAACTAAACAAAATGAACACAAAACGATCAGCTTTAAAAAAGGACTCATAACTGGAAAAACTGAATGAAAAAAGAATGTTAATAACAAATACTTTTTCACACCCAACCCAGTTCTGCGGAATCAGAATCAACGTTGAATTTAAGCAAGTGAATGAGCCAATTGGAGTAAAGTGCCATGCAGATTCAAATTTTTCCACTTGTGACGAATGCAGCTATCGATTTATTTTTGCATGCTAGCATGCTAGTTAACATTCGTGTCAGTCAGCTGTTGGCTCTCACGCTGGCCAATAGAATCTTCCTGCCTATTCGTGGTAGCCAACTATTGGTTCTCACTCTGGCCAGTACAAAATGGCCGCAAACTACATGAAAACTGCCGTAGAAGCATGAAAAAATCGATTATTTCCACTATCGATGGGAGTTGGGAAATGCAAAGTCGGTCTTGTCTTTTCCACTAACTTGGAGCATGTGCATGTAAATTTTGGTGCAAATCCGTCGAAAATTGCAGTCGTGCATTCGTTACACACACACACACACACACAGATATATATATATAGATAGAGATTACTATGTTGTTATAGTTTTATTGAATTTTTTTTTTACTGTATCCTACTAAGAGCTACGTGAGTAGACTGAAAAGTTCATAGGCTGACTATGAAGGAGTCATGCTAGAGCTGTGAAATCTGACATTAATTTTAACTCTTCTTGTTAATAACTAAGTGGTTTATTTCCGGGTAAACTGACATCAAACTGTTCGAAGAAAACTTCAGATGTAACTAATAACGACTTCTCTAGAAAATGGATAATATTTGGCATCGTAGTGTTTATCAAGTACCTGCAGAAAAAAAGGGTTTAGCCACAAGCACATTCATGCTGACATTAGCGGATGATACTCCAGCTTTATCAACAGTGGGCAGCTGAATTTAGGAAAGAAAGGGAGAGGCTTGTGGATAACCCAAGGTCTGGACATCCTTCAACTGCCACCACCGAGAAAAATACTCTCCTCTCTCTCTCTCTCTCTCTCTATATATATATATATATATATAAGTTTCTTCCTATCTTATCTTATCTCTCTCTCTCTCTCTCTATATATATATATATATATATATATATATGTGTATGTTTACGTGTTTATTATCTCTATAATTCACCCTCTCTTTATATATATATATATATATAAATTATTAGGAGGATTTGATAATTATATTTAATTAATTCATCGAGTTTGAAAGAAACCTCAACAGAATGCAGAAAGCACGTTTCGTCCTATATTTGGGACTCATCAGCAGTGCGCATCCACTACGAGAATTCTGACGGTTGGGTTGTCAAGCAAACATCGTACCAACTGTTCCAACAGGCCTCGGTGACGATTTGCAACCTCTTTGTCACCGAGGCCCATTAGAACCGTTGGTATGACGTTTGCTTAATAACCTAACTGTCAGGATTTCAATTCTCGGTAGTGGACGCTGATGAGTCCCAAATATAGGACGAAACGGTCGTCCAGTGCTTTCTGCTTTCTGTTGAGGTTCCTATCAGATTCGATGAATTAATTATATATATATATATATATATATATATATATATATATATATACTACGAAATGAACAAAGTCCGACAATTATTTTAATATAATTTATTGGTATGCGTTATTTATATAGACACAAATATTTAAGTAAATGCTCTGTTTTTATAATAAACAGTATTAACAACATTTACCACCCTGTTATTACTGTCAGCCGATTTACTATAAATTAAATAGCCAGTTCTATTAGCATATCCAGTGTCAGTTGAGAATATTCGACACAATGAATTTGGCATGACGAAGGTTTCTGCTCAGTGGATGTCCCGTCCTTTTGTAATGAACACTTTATTTAAAAAAAAACCACTACTAACCATAGGTATATCATACCCGATTTTGAAAATATCAAAAAAAAAAAAAAAAATTAAATATAAATCTTTATTTGAAATATTTTACATGCAGGCACTTCAAACTTTGTATTAATAGGAACTGAAAAACATATTATTTAGATAAGAAAATCAGGTACTGAAAATTGTAACTAAAAACAGGAAAATTAGCGCTGGGTACTATATACACATGGTTAGTGTTCGACGGTTAAACGCGATATCCCCGAGTAATTTACTGGACTACGAGTTTTGTTTGGCGTAAGCGATCTTTGTATTATTACTTATAATTATAATTATAAATACAATATGAATCACTTTACAGGGAAACAACGATTCGTACACGATTCCTCATCAGTTTTTTGCACGCACCTGTACAGTATTTGCGATTAAAATGTTTTAAAAGTTTATGAATAAATCATCTTCGGTTACGTCCACGTGCATAGAACTATAAATCATTAATAAAAAACAGATTTTAAATAATTAATTCATTATGGAAAGGACAATCTAAATCTCTTTTGTTATTGCCAGTGAGATTCTCTTTCTCCCAATCTCTTTTTTTTTAGCTATTTAAATGAAACAAAAGTACGTGCAAGTAGTATTACTGTTATTGGCACGGAAATTTGAATCGGCGATTCGTGTTCGAATTCTAAATGAATCTGTCGTGTTCACTTCGTACAATCAATCTCCCCTATCCCCCTATCTATGGATTAAATAAAAGGGCAGACAGGGCTTTCAAGATTTGGAACACCCGAGGAGTAGATTCGCACTGGGTGGGAGTACACGCAACGTGAAGCGCGAGAAGGCCTTTGCTTGGGTGGAGATTGGTCTGTCCGTGCACTGTAACGTATTCTCATCCAGCTGCTCTGGACCCAACACATGGCGCAACTGTCCCTGTTTCCTTCTTACACGAACGCAGCAGCCACTGCACTCATCCTACAGAGTCGCAGCTGTCCCTGGTTCCCCCTCATACGAACGCAGCAGCCGCTGCACTCAACCCACATAGTCGCAGCTGTCCCTGGTTCCCCCTCACACGAACGCAGCAGCCGCTGCACTCAACCCACATAGACGCAGCTGTCCCTGGTTACCCCCTCACACGAACGCAGCAGCTGCTGCACTCAACCCACATAGACGCAGCTGTCCCTGGTCCCCTAACACGAACGCAGCAGCCGCTGCACTCATCCCACAGAGTCGCAGCTGTCCCTGGTACCCCCTTACACGAACGCAGCAGTCGCTGCACTCAACCCACATAGTCGCAGCTGTCCCTTGTTCCCCCCTCACACGCACGCAGCAGCCGCTGCACTCATCCCACAGAGTCGCAGCTGTCCCTGGTTCCTCCTTACACGAACGCAGCAGCGGCTGCACTCATCCCACAGAGTCGCAGCTGTCCCTGGTACCCCCCCCTGACACGAACGCAACAGTCGCTGCACTCATCCCACAAAGTCGCAGCTGTCCCTAGTTCCCCCCTCATACGCACACAGCAGCCGCTGCACTCATCCCACAGAGTCGCAGCTGTACCTGGTTCCCCCTTACACGAACGCAGCAGCCGCTGCACTCAACCCACATAGTCGCAGCTGTCCCTGGTCCCCCTCACACGAACGCAGCAGCCGCTGCACTCATCCTACAGAGTCGCAGCTGTACCTGGTTCCCCCTCACACGAACGCAGCAGCCGCTGCACTCAACCCACATAGTCGCAGCTGTCCCTGGTTCCCACTTACACGAACGCAGCAGCCGCTGCACTCAAGCCACATAGTCGCAGCTGTTCCTGGTTCCTCCTTACACGAACTCAGCAGCCGCTGCACTCAACCCATATAGTCGCAGCTGTACCTGGTTCCCCCTCACACGAACGCAGCAGCCGCTGCACTCAACCCACATAGTCGCAGCTGTCCCTGGTCCCCTCACACGAACGCAGCAGCCGCTGCACTCATCCTACAGAGTCGCAGCTGTACCTGGTTCCCCCTCACACGAACGCAGCAGCCGCTGCACTCAACCCACATAGTCGCAGCTGTCCCTGGTTCCCCTTACACGAACGCAGCAGCCTGGTTCTTTGCACGAACAGCAGCCGCTGCCACATAGTCGCAGCACGAACGCAGCAGCCGCTGCACTCAACCCACATAGTCGCAGCTGTTCCTGGTTCCCCTCACGAACGCAGCAGCCGCCCTGCACTCAACCCACATAGTCGCAGCTGTACCTGGTTCCCCCCTCACACGAACGCAGCAGCCGCTGCACTCAACCCACATAGTCGCAGCTGTCCCTGGTTCCCCTCACACGAACGCAGCAGCCGCTGCACTTCAACCCACATAGTCGCAGCTGTCCCTGGTTCCCAGCTGTACTTTCCCCCACACGAACGCAGCAGCCGCTGCACTCAACCCACATAGTCGCAGCTGTTCCTGGTTCCCCCTCACACGAACTCAGCAGCCGCTGCACTCAACCCACATAGTCGCAGCTGTACCTGGTTCCCGAACGCTCACACGAACGCAGCAGCCGCTGCACTCAACCCACATAGTCGCAGCTGTCCCTGGTCCCCCCCACACGAACGCAGCAGCCGCTGCACTCATCCCAGAGTCGCAGCTGTACCTGGTTCCCCCCCTCACACGAACGCAGCAGCCGCTGCACTCAACCCACATAGTCGCAGCTGTCCCTGGTTCCCACTTTCACGAACGCAGCAGCCGCTGCACTCAAGCCACATAGTCGCAGCTGTCCCTGGTTCCCCCTCACACGAACGCAGCAGCCGCTGCACTCAACCCACATAGTCGCAGCTGTACCTGGTTCCCCCTCACACGAACGCAGCAGCCGCTGCACTCAACCCACATAGTCGCAGCTGTCCCTGGTTCCCCCTCACACGAACGCAGCAGCCGCTGCACTCAACCCACATAGTCGCAGCTGTCCATGGTTCCCACTTACACGAACGCAGCAGCCGCTGCACTCAAGCCACATAGTCGCAGCTGTTCCTGGTTCCTCCTTACACGAACTCAGCAGCCGCTGCACTCAACCCACATAGTCGCAGCTGTACCTGGTTCCCCCCAGCAGCCGCTGCACTCACGAACGAACAGCAGCCGCTGCACTCAACCCACATAGTCGCAGCTGTCCCTGGTTCCCCCTCACACGAACGCAGCAGCCGCTGCACTCAACCCACATAGTCGCAGCTGTCCCTGGTTCCCACTTACACGAACGCAGCAGCCGCTGCACTCAAGCCACATAGTCGCAGCTGTTCCTGGTTCCTCCTTACACGAACTCAGCAGCCGCTGCACTCAACCCACATAGTCGCAGCTGTACCTGGTTCCCCCTCACACGAACGCAGCAGCCGCTGCACTCAACCCACATAGTCGCAGCTGTCCCTGGTTCCCTCACACGAACGCAGCAGCCGCTGCACTCAACCCACATAGTCGCAGCTGTCCCTGGTTCCCACTTACACGAACGCAGCAGCCGCTGCACTCAAAACCATAGTCGCAGCTGTTCCTGGTTCCTCCTTACACGAACTCAGCAGCCGCTGCACTCAACCCACATAGTCGCAGCTGTACCTGGTTCCCCTCACACGAACGCAGCAGCCGCTGCACTCAACCCACATAGTCGCAGCTGTCCTGGTTCCCCCTCACGAACGCAGCAGCCGCTGCACTCAACCCACATAGTCGCAGCTGTCCCTGGTTCCCACTTTACACGAACGCAGCAGCCGCTGCACTCCAGCCACATAGTCGCAGCTGTTCCTGGTTCCTCCTTACACGAACTCAGCAGCCGCTGCACTCAACCCACATAGTCGCAGCTGTACCTGGTTCCCCTCACACGAACGCAGCAGCCGCTGCACTCAACCCACATAGTCGTCGCAGCTGTCCCCCTGGTTCGCCCCTCACACGAACGCACACGCAGCCGCTGCACTCAACCCACATAGTCGCAGCTGTCCCTGGTTCCCACTTACACGAACGCAGCAGCCGCTGCACTCAAGTTTGCAGTCGCAGCTGTTCCTGGTTCCTCCTTACACGAACTCAGCAGCCGCTGCACTCAACCCATAGTCGCAGCTGTACCTGGTTCCCCTCACACGAACGCAGCAGCCGCTGCACTCAACCCACAGCCGCGCACTAGTCGCAGCTGTCCCTGGTCCCCCTCACACGAACGCAGCAGCCGCTGAACTCATCCCACAGAGTCGCAGCTGTCCCTGGTTCCCCCACACGAACGCAGCAGCCGCTGCACTCAACCCACATAGTCGCAGCTGTCCCTGGTTCCCACTTACACGAACGCAGCAGCCGCTGCACTCCAGCCACATAGTCGCAGCTGTTCCTGGTTCCTCCTTACACGAACTCAGCAGCCGCTGCACTCAACCCACATAGTCGCAGCTGTACCTGGTTCCCCCTCACACGAACGCAGCAGCCGCTGCACTCAACCCACATAGTCGCAGCTGTCCCTGGTCCCCCTCACACGAACGCAGCAGCCGCTGCACTCATCCTACAGAGTCGCAGCTGTACCTGGTTCCCCCTCACACGAACGCAGCAGCCGCTGCACTCAACCCACATAGTCGCAGCTGTCCCTGGTTCCCCTCACACGAACGCAGCAGCCGCTGCACTCAACCCACATAGTCGCAGCTGTCCCTGGTTCCCACTTACACGAACGCAGCAGCCGCTGCACTCCCACCACATAGTCGCAGCGCAGCCCCTGTTCCTGGTCGCCTCCTGGTTCCTCACACGAACTCAGCAGCCGCTGCACTCAACCCACATAGTCGCAGCTGTACCTGGTTCCCCCACACGAACGCAGCAGCCGCTGCACTCCAGCACGCAGCTGTCCCGGTTCCCCCCCACACGAACGCAGCAGCCGCTGCACTCAACCCACAATGCAGCTGTCCCTGGTTCCCCCTCACACGAACGCAGCAGCCGCTGCGCACTCAACCCACATAGTCGCAGCTGTCCCTGGTTCCCTGTACCTGGTTCACACGAACGCAGCAGCCGCTGCACTCAACCCACATAGTCGCAGCGTCCCTGGTTCCATAGTCGCAGCTGTTCCTGGTTCCTCCTTACACGAACTCAGCAGCCGCTGCACTCAACCCACATAGTCGCAGCTGTACCTGGTTCCCCCTCACACGAACGCAGCAGCCGCTGCACTCAACCCACATAGTCGCAGCTGTCCCTGGTCCCCCTCACACGAACGCAGCAGCCGCTGAACTCATCCTACAGAGTCGCAGCTGTACCTGGTTCCCCCTCACACGAACGCAGCAGCCGCTGCACTCAACCCACATAGTCGCAGCTGTCCCTGGTTCCCACTTTACACGAACGCAGCAGCCGCTGCACTCCAGCCCACATAGTCGCAGCTGTTCCTGGTTCCTCCCCCCTACACGAACTCAGCAGCCGCTGCACTCAACCCACATAGTCGCAGCTGTACCTGGTTCCCCCTCACACGAACGCAGCAGCCGCTGCACTCAACCCACATAGTCGCAGCGTCCCTGGTCCCCTCACACGAACGCAGCAGCCGCTGCACTCATCCTACAGAGTCGCAGCTGTACCTGGTTCCCCCTCACACGAACGCAGCAGCCGCTGCACTCAACCCACATAGTCGCAGCTGTCCCTGGTTCCCACTTACACGAACGCAGCAGCCGCTGCACTCAAGCCACATAGTCGCAGCTGTTCCTGGTTCCTCCTTACACGAACTCAGCAGCCGCTGCACTCAACCCACATAGTCGCAGCTGTACCTGGTTCAGTACCTGGTTCCCCCGCAGCTGTCCCTGGTTTCCCCTCACACGAACGCAGCAGCCGCTGCACTCAACCCACATAGTCGCAGCTGTCCCTGGTTCCCCCTCACACGAACGGCAGCAGCCGCTGCACTCATCCCACAGAGGTTCCCCCCCTCACACGAACGCAGCAGCCGCTGCACTAACCTGGTTCCCCCCTGGTCCCCCCCTCCACGAACGCAGCAGCCGCTGCACTCAACCCACATAGTCGCAGCTGTCCCTGGTTCCCACTTACACGAACGCAGCAGCCGCTGCACTCAACCCACATAGTCGCAGCTGTTCCTGGTTCCTCCCTAACACGAACTCAGCAGCCGCTGCACTCAACCCATAGTCGCAGCTGTACCTGGTTCCCCTCACACGAACGCAGCAGCCGCTGCCCCCACTCAACCCACAGTCGCAGCTGTCCCTGGTCCCCTCACACGAACGCAGCAGCCGCTGCACTCATCCCAACCCACAGAGTCGCAGCTGTACCTGGTTCCCCTCACACGAACGCAGCAGCCGCTGCACTCAACCCACATAGTCGCAGCTGTCCCTGGTTCCCCTTTCACACGAACGCAGCAGCCGCTGCACTCAACCCACATAGTCGCAGCTGTTCCTGGTTCCTCCCCACACGAACTCAGCAGCCGCTGCACTCAACCCACATAGTCGCAGCTGTACCTGGTTCCCCACACGAACGCAGCAGCCGCTGCACTCAACCCACATAGTCGCAGCTGTCCCTGGTTCCCCTCACACGAACGCAGCAGCCGCTGCACTCAACCCACATAGTCGCAGCTGTCCCTGGTTCCCACATAGTCGCAGCTGTCCCTGGTTCCCCTCACACGAACGCAGCAGCCGCTGCACTCAACCCACATAGTCGCAGCTGTCCCTGGTCCCCTCACACGAACGCAGCAGCCGCTGCACTTCATCCCACAGAGTCGCAGCTGTACCTGGTTCCCCACACGAACGCAGCAGCCGCTGCACTCAACCCACATAGTCGCAGCTGTCCGCAGCAGCCGGTTCCCACATAGTCGCACTTACACGAACGCAGCAGCCGCTGCACTCAACCCACATAGTCGCAGCTGTACCTGGTTCCCCCTCACACGAACGCAGCAGCCGCTGCACTCAAGCCACATAGTCGCAGCTGTCCCTGGTTCCCCCTCACACGAACGCAGCAGCCGCTGCACTCAACCCACATAGTCGCAGCTGTTCCTGGTTCCCCTCACACGAACGCAGCAGCCGCTGCACTCATCCCACAGAGTCGCAGCTGTACCTGGTTCCCCCACACGAACGCAGCAGCCGCTGCACTCCAACCCACATAGTCGCAGCTGTCCCTGGTTCCCCTCACAACGAACGCAGCAGCCGCTGCACTCAACCCACATAGTCGCAGCTGTTCCTGGTTCCCCTCACACGAACGCAGCAGCCGCTGCACTCATCCCACATAGTCGCAGCTGTCCCTGGTTCCCCCCCCTCACACGAACGCAGCAGCCGCTGCACTCAACCCACATAGTAGCAGCTGTCCCTGGTCCCCTCCACACGAACGCAGCAGCCGCTGCACTCATCCTACAGAGTCGCAGCCTGTCCCCCCCCCTCACACGAACGCAGCAGCCGCTGCACTCAACCCACATAGTCGCAGCTGTCACTGGTTCCCCCTCACACGAACGCAGCAGCCGCTGCACTCAACCCACATAGTCGCAGCTGTACCTGGTTCCCCCGAACGCACACGAACGCAGCAGCCGCCGCACTCCAAACCCACATAGTCGCAGCTGTCCCTGGTTCCCCCTCACACGAACGCAGCAGCCGCTGCACTCAACCCACATAGTCGCAGCTGTACCTGGTTCCCCTCACACGAACGCAGCAGCCGCTGCACCGTCCCCAAGCCACATAGTCGCAGCGTCCCTGGTTCCCCTCACACGAACGCAGCAGTCGCTGCACTCAACCCACATAGTCGCAGCTGTCCCTGGTCCCTCACACGAACGCAGCAGCCGCTGCACTCGCAGCTCCCGGTTCTCTCACACGAACGCAGCAGCCGTGCCTGGTTCCCCTCACACGAACGCAGCAGCCGCT